TTCCCTACAGCCTCTGCCTGCCTTTCCCCATCCTGGCAGCCTTGCTGGTCGGTGACATAGTCTCTGAGTAGCTTCTGCAAGGGAAGCCAGGAGCTTGCTCTCTCCTCTGCCTTCCATTTCCTGCATCCTTCCCAGAGCAACGCAGACCTTCGGGGCAGGGTTGCAAAGCTGATGACCTCGCTTGAGAGAAGTGATGGCCCCCTGCGCATGTCTGGCACCTTGCCTTTAGTGGACCACGTTCTTGGGGCTACACTTGTGAAATGCTGCCACATGTGCACAGGGCTTAGTGGGATGGAGGCATTATTCATCGCCTCCCCATTGAGCAAGGACTTCTCGATCCCTTAAAGAAGTGAGAGAAAGCTCATCGCCTCGTCACTGCGGACGGCCCCCAGAGGGGACATGAATCCCACCTCTTCGCTCTGGGCTTCCATCAGTGATGCCACAGGAACCTGCCACATTTACACTCTTCCCGTAACATGCCTGTCCCAACCGCGTCAATGAGATTCACACTGTACTGTCGTCAGGCTGCTAACACTGCACTACCAGAGATACGATCAACTGTTTCCTTGTGGATCTTATGTCAGCCCGAGTTGATCTGACAGATAATCGTCTGTTTGGTAAACTTTTATGCTGGGGGAATGAATTATCTGCAGGTCTGGCTGGGCCGCCGTTGTGTTGCTGGAGACTGTTCAAATGTTTGGCCCGTTTGTTTCTTCCTGCAGCTGAGAAAGGCAGGCAGACGAAATTACTGGCAAATCATTCATTTCTAACACCAGGGGTTTTCAGGAAACATATTTCTATTTTCTTTCTTTGATGAATTACAGTGAGCCATGTGACGTGGACCGCCCAAAGCCTGCTTGAGAAATTGGCTCTAAGCATTTTGGTGAGCGCAGAAATAACTGGGGCCTGGGCCATTTCCAGCGAACCCAGTAATGCCATCCTATCTACTGACCAACTATCCACTCTCCATGCTTACCTTTGGCCGACCAACATCAGCATGAACAATTCTCAGCACGAAAGACCTTGTTTACTTGTTAGTTCAAAAATGGATCATTCAAGGCCAGAGCGAAAGTCATATTAGGGGACCAGAGATGAAGGAGGCATCACTGCTTGTAAACAGCAGGTTATAAAAATGCAATCAGCCCTAACCGGTTTGGCTCAGTGGACAGAGCATCAGCCTGCGGACTTAAGGGTCCCAGGTTCGATTCCAGTCAAGGGCATGTACCTTGGTTGTGGGCACATCCCCAGTAGGGGGTGTGCAGGAGGCAGCTGATCGATGTTTCTCTCTCATCGATGTTTCTAACTCTCTATCCCTCTCCCTTCCTCTCTCTAAAAAATCAATAAAATATATATGTTAAAAAATGCAATCATGGCCCTGGGGGAGGCTCAGTTGGTTGTGGCATCATCCCATGTACCAAAAGGTGGCGGGTTTGATCCTTGGTCAGGACACAAAGGTAGGTTATGGATTCCATCCCCGGTCAGAGCGAATATGGGAGGCAATCGATAGATGTTTCTCTCTCTCTCTCCCTTCCTCTCTCTAAAAATCAATAAACATATCCTCAGGTGAGGATCTGAAAATGCAATCATATTTTACTACAGCACAGCACAGCACAGCACAGCACAATTCTCTTTAGTACCTTCTGCCCTAGAACGAGGCTCTTAGAAGACAAGATGGTGAATCCATCTCCTGGCCCGTCTTCAGAGGTGGAATTCGAAGTCCCTTCTTTATCACTGTCTTTTGGTTTGGACTGTGGGTAGAAATCAGAGGAACAGGTGGGAAGTCACTGGAGAAAAAGCCCAAAGTGGCTCGATAAAGCTCTTCCCATGGCCACCACCCCGGTGGGCATGAAAGGCAGTGGTTAGCGTTATGTTCTACTGCTCTTGATGGAGGGAAGCAAAGGGTAGCAATATCCGGAAAAGAAACGGGTGCTGCCAAAAATATGACGCGTTCAAGGGTTCACGCGCACCTGCAGTTCTCACTCAAACCCGCACAGTCATGTGGTTCTTGCTCTTCTCCACTTACGACGACAAGCATCAGAACCGGGAGGGTCATTCCAGCACACTGCTCAACCCCCTGTCCCCGGTTTCCCCTGGCACACCGAGGCAGCCCAGGGAGCGCTTACATGACCTCTGTGTTGTCATGAGGTCTGTGGAGGGCAACGGACAGCCTCTGAAGCTGTGCTGTCCAACCTCCTGTGATTGTGGGAATGTCTGCGTCTGTGCTGCCAGGGCAACTGAGCACTCAGCTCATGCAACTGAGAAAATACTTTTAAATTTGATTTAATTAAGTTAAATTCAAATAGAAAGAACCACACGTGGAGAGCAGTCACTGTGCTGGGCAGCGCCTGAAAATATTACTCTGCAAACGGCACCTCTGGCTGTAGCTGCTCAGCGCATCAGGTTATCGGCCACACCTGGAACCACCTCGGCCGGACCTAAGGGACTATCTAGGGGAGACTAGAGATATTTCAGTGGCAACATGGAGCGATAGAGAAGTGAAGAGCAGCGTGCCAGGCTGTCGGCTCTCATGTAGGTTTTAGTGGGGGCAATGGCGGGGATCTGGAAACATGAGGACCACCCATGCTGTGGAAACTGCTGGTAGACCCTGCCTGGTGATTGGAGCGCGTGCTTGGCACTTTCTCCCAGCACCGCGCTGTGGAGTCCCCCGTTTTCTGGAGATGTGGCTACACCTTCATCTTCGACGGTTCAACTTTCCTGCTGTTCCGAGAGTCCCTGGCTCACGGACGCAGCCTGGCTCACCTTTTTGGACGTTCGTGGTTTGGCAGCCTTGGATTTCTTGCCCCCCTTCTTGCCCGATGTGGCCTTCCTTCCTCTTTTCTCCGGGGGAGGGGAGAGGATAGTTTCCGACTTGCCTTTGGTCCCTCGCTTTTTGGCCAGCAGTTCGGGATGGATTCTGGGCAGGACGCCTCCGCTGGCAATGGTCACTCCTTTCAGCAGCTGAAGCGAGAAACGCATCAGTTCAGACAGCTAAGAGCTTGCTGATTCTGGGTTTAATACAGTTCTAACTGTTGGCAAAACAAGGTTAAATTTGGCCTTTGTTTCCCCGAAGTTGCATAATACACCGTCTAACTGGCTTTTTCTGTTTCTCTTGCAGAGAGTATCTCTGTAGGCGTCAAGGCCTCCTGTGATCTTGTGCAGAAAACACAAGCCAAGCAAAATGAAAGGGTAGAGGTTGAAACCAGCGATGCTGCCCAGGGCTCTGGAATTCCAGACATAACAGAGGATAAAGAGCCTCACACATGGGGAGCGCAGCTTGACAAAATGAAGTTCCAAGGTCAAAGCTGGGGCTGACCCAGCAGACCACTGGTCTCCGCACTCCTTTGAGGAAAAGAAGGCCTGGCCAGACTCAGAATATGTAACAGGATCTACTCCAGAGGCAATTGCATTTTGAAGCTGAATGATACCTTAGAAGAATCGATTCTTCTCTTTCAGGATCTAAAAGACCTATTTTGTTG